CCAGCGGTAGTTCAGGCGCCAGCGCCTCTGGCTCCTCTTTCTGGTGTCTGAGCTTGGCTCCCCAGCAGCTGCAGCTCCAGTCGCCTTCCCCTCAGCCGCTCGCTCCCTGCCGCTCCTGTTGAGAGAGGGCGGGGAGGGTTTGAAAGGCGCCCGCCGGGAGACGAAACCCAAAGCTACTTCCTCTTCGCCCCTCTGAGCGGGCGGGGTGACCTGTGAGCCAGCCAGCCTAGGAGCAAGGAGGGCCTCGGAGCGGAGGAAGGAGGCTGAGGGGGGCAAGGAAGGTAAGCGCCTCTCATTGCAGCCGACTCCCTGGTCTGTCCCCCCACCCCGGACGTCACGTCTTTCTGTGCTCCCCCGTTTTTACCAGCTCTTCAGGTTTGCCCTCTGAAGTCTCGCCATCCACTCATCCATGTTCCCCCTTCCATCCTCTCTGCCCGTTTGGGCACTCGGCGTCTGCCTGCCTAGGCAGTCAGTCCTTCTGGCAACTTTGCTTCTAAGGAAATGCTGTTTATTCCCCTTTGGATCAAGGAATCGAGTTTGGGCTGGTCCCTTGAGGACAGAGTGCTGCGGAAGGAAAATCTCTCTGGGTGCAGTTCTTCAGAGGAGCAGGGTGGAAGTGGGGCAAAGCTCTTGCACTTATATTGAAAAAGCACCCCCAAAGTAGGGTTGTTATTGAGGGTCTCCCAGTTTCAGTATCTTGGTTTATCCTATCTGCAGCTTTCCACTCCAGGGTCTGTCTTCGACCTATAGTAGAGTATTTTTGCAATAATGTGTGTCGAGAAAAGCACCTCTACAGATTTTCTCCAATACTCTGCTTTGAAATCTGTTTCAAGCAGTGAAGTCCAGATCAATACTTAGCAACATTATGGCTTAAGACAATTTGGCTCAGATATTCGTCTTGAATAAGTAAGCGGAAACTTACTTGAGGGTGGGATTTTACTGGTTGGGAGAAATGTAACTTGTGATGGTTGGGAAATTAAATGTGCTTGGCTGTGGTTAATACAGAAGGAGATCAGTGCTGATGATAATGCTCTGGAAGTTATATGAAAACAGTCTGGTGTTACTTACATTGAACACCCCACCTTCTCCCCAACCCCTTCCCATATATCAGAATAACCTCTCTTAATTCTGGTGAGCATTGTTTATGTTTGAAATATTTGGTACCCATTAATCCAGACCCATTTAAACTACAGTAATTTGAGTTTGAATAGAATTGTGGAAGCAACTTGACAAAAAATATGTTAGTATCTTAATGTTAGAAATTGCTTTGTTTGATGATCTGCATTGTTTTTATCTAGTTCTTTAGGGTCATGAAATTTATTTTTACGTATATGTCTTTGGGCTAATGAAGATATTAAATTTTTTGTGGATTACTAGTTAAAAATGGGTGCTGCATCAAATAGATTTGTGATGCATTTGATTTACTCCCTCTGGAATCACATTTCCACTGTAAGTGTAATATTCAACTTGGGTGTATCTATTCTTCACAAAAATCAAACTTTTGATTTATCAACTGAACTTTGCAAATAGGAAAATTCAACTGTATTCACTGCAAACATCTGTAGTATTTTGTTTATTTTTTTAAACTGTTGGAAGTCTTTTTAACAATTTGTCACATGAACTAGTAAGATAAATTAAGGTCTGTGTTTATACTGAACAAACAAAAAATCTCAAGGCAAAAACTTAAAGTGTTAATAAGAAAAACCTGAGAGAAAAACAGGAGCAAAAAAATGAGTATACGTATGTAATTGAAATACAAATATTTTAATTATTTCAATATTTCTGTTTAGATTATTGGTTAGGAAAAATATTCATATAGCTAAGAAATTGTGACCAGATTTGAATAAATGTAGCCTTTATTGTACATTTTTAAAAGGCGAAGTAGTTTCCCATGCTTTAAGTATCAGAGTTCCAATGAAATGTCTGTTTCTGCTTTTTGATATTTTGTGATAACAAAACTGGCAGCTAACAGAAAATTGAATCAATTTCTTACAGTGCATCAGTTTATATGCCTTGGGAACTATGGATGATGAATTAAAAGCAGCATTCATTGTTAAAGAAGAAATTTTCCCAGTTTCTTAAAAAACTTTCAACTAAAAGTACTATAGTAAATGGGCATTACGATAAAAGATGGTAAAATGTACCAATTTGTGTGCAAACCTACAAACACCATTTAGAAGAGTTAGAATTTATATAATATAATTTTAGTGAAGTGTAGTGCCATCCATGGATTATTTTCATGATTAATTCTTGATGAGCTGCTGAAATAGCTCTAAAAGGAATTTTATGACACAAAGCATTCTAGTATGATTCATCAAGTTCTAAATGGAAATCACCCTCCCAGACTTTCAAAAGAACCCGTATAAGAATTGTATATAATATTGTTCTCATTCTCTTGATTTTAAATGTAGATGTTGTAAGGTAGTTCCCATGTCAGAGAACAGAACACATAACATTCCCAGTATACATTCCCTCTTCTCAGACAGAATCCACAACCACCAGTGAGGCATGGCACCTGTTCAATGACCTCAGCTCCTTTTGCTGGAGAGAGGATAAGTTTGGTCCTTTTAAAAAGAAAAGGCAAAAGTTTATGAAACAAGGCTGGGTTTTAACATCTCCCCCAAAAGCCTCTGATGAACAGCTGGAATCTCCAAGAACCAAGGGAGGTTCAGGTATTGAATCAGAGAGAACATCTGATTCACAAGTTATCTATCTTCTGTAGGAATTGGCAAATGCTTACCCAGGAGTTTACACTAGACTGTTGGTTTGTTTTCTCTGTGGTGCTAACCAGGTGGTATTTATCTCCTCCAACATTGAATTTCAGCTTTTGACAGGGTGAGAATGTGAAGACCCAGAGGACTTCTGGGAGAGGAGATTTGAGACTTCCAGCCTTCCAGCCAATGAGCTATAATAGATGTATAGTATTTTTCTAATGATAATAGTTTTAATTGATAGTTTATGAGGAAACAATTGAATTTAACACATTTGAAACCAAGTAGAAATTTGTGATCAGTCCATTTCCACATATATTCAGCAGTAATGGGTCTTCATCAATAATTCTATAACTCTATAAAATTCTATGCTCTATGTTCTATTGAACATTTCTTTAAATTCTTGCTCTTAAAAAGATTATGATTGAGGATTGGAAGACGAGAAAGATCAGGTGCTAAGAATTGTGTGTATCTTTTCTG